TCTCTTTCTCTTTCTGTGTTTGTTTGTGTTTTTTGGCAAGAAATCTGTCATAGTCTCCCTGGTTTCTTCCCCAATCCGATTCCATTGTCTTTTTTCTGGTGGGACTGATACTCCTCCCCTTGTGTGTGCTCAGACACTCTCCTCAATAAGCATCACTTCCCTCCTGCTGATTGGGTTCCTAATCACCCTGCTGTGGTCTTCTGTCTCCAGCTCCAGTATGACATACACACCCCACCCCAACTGCCCAGAGTCCAGAGCTACCCTCCTACCTTGGTGAGTCCATAAACCCAGCCTGTTCCCTACTAAACCACTCCCAACTATCACTGGCACAGGTAATGGCCTCTTTGCCTCCACCTCCTCCACTGAGGGGCACCTGGGCCCCCTCTACCCAGGCCATGGCTGAGTTCATCTGGTTTCCCACTTCTGAGCATACACTTGGGGTGCAGGGGCCCACAGGGGAGCTGTGCCTATGGGCCTCAGCATGCTGAAATACCACCTATCACAGGACCAGTAGCCACAGGCATAAAAATCTTTACAGGACATCCTATGCCTCTCCAGCAAGGGCTCCCTGGGAGAACCCCTAGGGGCCTTACCCCCATCTAATGCAACTTTGCTCTGAACCTCCATTTCCCTGTGACCACAGGAACACAGCGTTTGACTCGGTCCATCAGAGCATCAGGACTCCCAAGCACAGAAACAATCTCATGAATCTAAACTCCTGGTTCTGCTCATCCTGCCAACTTTCATATCTCAAATTTCTGCTATGGCTCCTTCCAGCCGCTGACCCACACTTGCTGGCCAGGACCCCCAAATGGGATACCACCCCCACCCAATACCCCCTACTGCCCCACCTGAAGAGCTCCTCCCAGTGACTTCTTGTGGATACCATAAGATTTTCCTTCTGAGGGGGATTTGAGCAAAGATGGCAGATAGATAACAGCTGGCTACAGAGGCTCCCTGAGATAGTCAACTTAGAATTCAACGTAATACAGAGTGGGGAGCCCCAAACAGAGAGAGATGAATTCTCTCATCCCAAGAAGAAACTAAGGTGAGAAAAACCAATCAAACATACAGACCCAGCGCTATTATTGGAACAGCTAAAGGTTCTGTGCTCCCACCACAGCAGGCAACTTGCCAAGCCATCTGAGGTCCCACCGCTTCAACTCACTGGAGGCACAGTCACACTGAGGTTGGGGGCCAGCCAGCCGAACGGAGAGCTGAGCTGGTGGGGAGCCTGCATCAACCTGTGGTAAGTGACGGGAGTGGAACCATTCCACAGAAAGGGGGGCTCCGGCTGATGACATTCTGGACTGGGCAGGACTGGCAAGTACAAGGGGCAGCAGTGACTTCAGTCATTTGCTCCCTTCCTGAACAGAATTGGTGAGTGAGCTTGGCCTGGGTCACGCGACCTAGCTGAGACCCAATAGGGTATCCAAAATCAATTCCCTATTGTGGCAGCGCACACTAACACAGTGAAGGCCTCAGAAGTTTGACTGACCCAGAGAGGAGGGGCCAGCATACACTGCCCCTTTTGCAACTCACTAGCACACTGCATTGTGAAGGGTCATCTAGCCAGCGTGCTGCAGAAGAATTGTAACCAACAAACAAAGAAACTGGGCCTCCTGGAAGAAGCAAAAAAGATGGGAAGAGGAAGCAACAAGAAAAAGTCCCCAGGTCCCAACCCTGAGAAGATTGACCCAGAACAGGTAAATACAAAGGAGAATGAGAACAGCAAACATACAATATCAGACACGGCACCAGTGGACATAAAGAGATATCTTCAGGACCTCATAGACGAGTTCAAAAGTAAAATATTTATCCAAGTAAAGTAAGATATAAGAAGGTTAATAAAAGAGAGCTAAGCACCCCTAAAGAAGACAGAGGCAGAAGAAGGGAGGAACTCAAACAAAGGAGAGAACCATTTGATGAAGAATATAAAGAAAACGTAGAATACATGAAGCAGATTCAAAGAGATTACCAGGAAATTAAAAACTCTATGGAAAGATGGCAAATCAGCTTGAAAGAAACTAAGGATAGATTATCCAAACTGAAGGACAGTTTTGCAATGTGGGATTATGAAAGGAAAAACTTTTTAAAAATAACAAGGAAACAAGCAGTAACAATACAAAGGCTAGAAGATGACAAGAGGATCTACAACTTGAGAATAAAGAATGTGAATGAAGAAGCAGGAGTACAAACAAAGGAACTATAAAGGCTATTCACAGAAATAATTAAGGAAACTTCCCAAACATAGGAAAAGGAAATGATATTCTGATGTATGAGGCATACAGAACTCCAGCCACCTACAACCAAAACAGAGCTACACCCAGGAATATAATAATCAAGATCCCAGAAATTCAATATAAGAACAGAATATTAAAAGCTGTTAGAGACAAGAAACAGATAACCTACAGAGGAAGGCCCATCAGAATAATGGCAGACTGTTCGACACAAACCATCAAGTCAAGAAGAGCTTGGAGCGAAATATTCCAAGCCCTGAAAGAAAATAACCTCCAACCCAGATTGATATATCCTGATAAACTGTCTCTAGAAATTAATGGAGAAACAAGATGCTTCCAACACAAAGAGGAACTTGGGAAATTTGCAATGACCAATCCAACTTTACAGAGAATACTGCAGGGCACTCTAGAGAGAGAGAAAAGTACTAGGATTCCAGGAACAGTGGCAGAGAGGCCTCAATGAATGCAGCAGAAAACAGAATGAAGAAGACAAGCAGACAACTGACGGCAAAAAAAGAGCATAACAGAAATGAGGCAGAGAAGGTTGATTATAATCTCTAATATAGATGGCCTTGATACACTAAGTTAAAAAAGAACCACATATAGAATAGATCAGGAGGTAGGGTCCACCAAGATGCTATTTAGCTCAGTGGCATAAGCACTTGCCTTGCAAGCAGGCAGTTGTGAGTTCGATCCCCAGTACCAATAAAAAGGAAAAAGACAAAAAAAATTTTTTAAAAAGATGCTATTTATAGGAAACATAATTAATATGTAAAAGAGTACATGGACTGAAAATCAAATATGAGAAAACAATGCTCTATGTGACAGAGAACCAGAGAGTAATAGGGGCAACTAGACCAGTATTTGTGGATAGGTTGGAAACACAGGCTTTAATAAGTAAAGGAATATAATTAGAGATCAAGTCCAGGAGAGAGAAGGTTCAGAACCACTTAGGTAAATAGCAGGCTGCCCCCTGCCCAATTTAAAACCAAGGGTCTTGGTCAGACCCAAAAATGCACAGTGTACCCCTGGGGAAGTGAAAGGGGAGGGAGAGTCTTAAAAAAGATGCAGAAGATATTGTTAATAGTGTATCAGGATTTAAAGCCCACATTACTCACAGCACTCTGTTTAGCTAGATTTTATTCTGTCCCAGTTTGTCTACTTGCATTAGATTTGAGGGCACAGATAGCTATCTCAAAAACATCAGGATATAGCACAGTAATCATCCTTAATTTCCTATTAACTTAATCTGGAGTCCTGTATGACTTATACTGTTTTATCATGACTGATCTTAGTTAAATCTGGTTTGTTTGATTGCTGTTTGGTATTGACAGATTTTATTCAAAACGGATATGATTGACAGTATCAAGTCTGAGGGTATAGGCAACTACACTGAAGATGACAAGACTATGATACACATTCTGGTTTGATAACTGCCTGTTTTTGAAGTTTTATACTATATACAAAGTTTTTTTACTAACACTGTTATGTATTATATATTCAATTATACTGTCTGATGATATAGCCAATTCTATTGAAGATAACAAGAGACGACACAGGAACTATGGTAGAACTCCTTCCTTGTACAATGGTTTTATATGTCTTTTTCATTTCATGTGTTTATAGGAATATGTTTTGTTTTGTCTTGCTTTGTTTTGTTTCTCCCTCTAATATAGAAAGGATAGAAAACATGTTAAGACTCATGCATGTGCAGAACCTATAAACAGTTTATGAGAACTGATCTTATGACACATGATGAAATGAAGAGATACTTTGAAGAAAAAGAGACACTAAAGTACCCAGTGCTGATCCTGGAGTGTCATAATGTGACACCCAGCAATACTATTATTCTTTGTTCAGAGTGATATTAGCCTGCTTGGGTTTGTTCAATCTCAACATAATTAAAGATATGGATAACTGCATGTATGTTTAAGTGCATGGGATTGATAACCATATTTCTAAGTTTTTGTTGGATAGTTGAACAGAACTGATTGCAGTGTTACTGTTTGAATCCCAACTTTATAAGCTCCATTTTAGTATCTTGAATAAAATTATTTGTAAGAGGACAATCTGTAATCATCAACTAGTGATTTCTTACTGTTTTTTTTTTCTTTGAAAGTATGTATTATTTCTACCCGTTTTCTATTTTGTTTAGTCTTTCTTTAAATAAAATTTAAAAAAAAAAAGATTTTCCTTCCGAGGGCAGAATGAAACCCCAGGTGTCTCCCAAAGGACAGCCTAGGCGCCACTCTTTCTTTCACAGGGGCCACACCCACCACCACATGGGACAATGGGCGAAAGAGAGATCTAAGACAAAAGCCACTTTCATGATGCATCACGTTTTCTGCCTATACACGTCTAGGGTCTTCTGGCTATACAGAACTCTGCTTTGTTCTGTCTGCTCACAAACTGGACTGGAGCATGTAACCTGGCACTCCTGGCCCCCAAAATCGATGTAGCTCTCAGGCAACCAGTCCCTGTGAAGACCCCTCTCAGATGCCAGCCTCCAGCCCCAGGACTCGTACCCCTACTAGGAGGCCTTGGACTCTCTGGGGATGGGGATGGGGATGGGGATGGGGATGGGGATGGGGATGGGGATGGGGATGGGGATGGCAATCATGGGTGTGGCTGTCTCCACCACAGCCTGCCAGCAACTCAGAAGAATTGTCTAAGGGGCTTGGGAAGATTTCTGGCCTTGCAGAAAGTAGTTTCCCAGGCTGGGTTGGCCCTCCAGAACCACTGCACCCTGGATCTACTCACTGCAGAAAAAGCAGGCACCTGAATCTTCCTCCAAGATCAACGCTGCCTCCATGTCAGCAGGTCGGGTTTTGTCCATCAGACAGTCCGGAGTCTCTGGGACCAAGCCATGAGGCTCAAAGGACAGGCAACGGGTGGCTTCACTGTGGGTTGGGGAGCGGGCATCTTCCAAACCAGCTGGACATCCTGGCTTCTCCCCTGCCCAGGCTGCTGGTCCCAGTCTTTCTGCTGTTACTGTTTGCACCTTGCATAGTAACAATCTTAACAGATTTCATCCTAGGACAGATCTGATCCATGACATCCAGACAGCTCCTGCTGACTGACGCCCGTTACACCACTGTCCCATGGGAATCCCACGCTGGGCTGCAACAGAAACCAAAGATCATCACGCTCCGAGCATCCCGTCACCTCGCCCAGATCTGGTACCCTGTCACGTTGCCACCAGCCCAGGCCCTCTCCACCTTCATTTCTTTCTGTCTCTTTGCTAGGATGCACAAGCAGTGCCCCAGTTACAGCTGAAAAAGTCCTGAGAAACAGCATCTCCTACCTCTCTTCTTTCTCTGTAACACGACAGGAATGTCAGGTCTCTGTACGAGACCCCGCCTAGCAATAAGCAGATAGCTTATTGACACCTGCAGGAGCACAGGCTTTCAACAGGAAGCGGCAGCCTCCCCCACACAGCTCAACCAGCAGAGAGCTCAGTCCACAAAAAACCACAAGAGCCGCTGTGCCTGCCAGCACCCCTGCACCACACCCCGCCCTGTCTATTAGCTAGCCCTAGATCCCCTACTCAGAGACCCCAAATTTTTCACCCCCCTTGGCAGTGCCCCCTTCCTTACCTAAACTCCCCTACAGGACATGGTCTCACCTCTTGCTCGGGGCCAATGGTCTTTTCCCCTTGGCCCACCTACACTAGGTCTGCAGTAAAGCCTTGGCACATTGCCCAAACTCTGCTTGTCTCAGTGGTCTCTACTGTGCCTCAGTTTACCCTAACACAGATCAAAGAGATAAACCGAGGTACCTGCTTCCCCTCCAGTGCCAAAAGGGATTGTGGTCCCTGCAGGCTGGACCCTACCCAAAACACCTCCTTGGCTCCAAAAGTAATCATTTCAGATGCTACAGATTCTTGAAAACTCTGTTCATAAGACGTTAAAGTGAAACTATTGTCATCGACATCACTGGAAGCTGAATTTTCCAAGTGCCACAGAACAATAGGTGACCATGTGGGCGCCCGGGAAGAAATCAGAGAAGGCAGCAGCAAATGGGGTCTTTTTCCTAGACATGCTGAAGTTTCCATAAATTCTCCAACATGAAGAAGCAGAGCTGGACCTGCTGTATCTGCACCTGTGTGTGCCTTGGGGTAACGCACAGCACATGGACCCCAGCAGAAAAGCACCAGGGACACCACAGTTATTTGACATCAGAGACAAAGGCCAGGTGCCTATTTCCCACTGTGACATTTGTCCTTCACTGACAGTAAATGAAGCAACGGGCCTTTGACCAGGAACTATGCTCCTGTCGGCTTGAGGGGGCCCTTTGGGCGGGCTCGGGGACCTCAGTTATGTCCCTGCCTCCTCTCCTGGGCCTTTTAACAGTGAAAGATCTGCAAAGCATGTTGTCTCAGACTCGCTGGCAGCGAGGCTTCCAAATGAGCTGCCCCAGCAAACACACTGACGTGAGAGTCAGAGTCGGAGCCGGGCCGCAGGAAAGGCGGGCGCACCTTTCACCTGCAGAGCTGGCCGGGCTGGCGGCTTGCTGGATGGAGAGGTTTCCATGGCAAAAACAGTGGTCCTTCATTCTCTGTGCCTTCAAGAGGTGTTCCCAGAGCTGGGTAGGAGCAGAAGCTGATTCATCAATTTGTGTGTGTGTGTGTGTGTGTGTGTGTGTGTGTGTGTGTGTGTGTGTGAGGGGTCGGTACTAGGAGCCCAAGGCCTTTGCACTACACTATGTCACCGCCTTTTCTTCTTTTTTTAAAATTTATTTCACGACAGGATCTCACTAAATTCCTCCAACTGGGCCCCGACTTGCAGTCTTCCTGCCTCAGCCTCCCAGAGTGCTAGGATTACAGGTGTGCACCGCCATGACTGATGTCACACTTCATTTTTAAAAACTCTTCTACTTAACATAGGTAGGTTGGGCTGTGAGCGTGGGCTAACTCAAGTCCTAAGGAGATCAATGCCCAGTTCCAGAATCAGAGGTGAGGTGAGAGCCCAGACCCTGGGAAAGACATCGGCACCTCTCTACAAACTTTACTACAACCTGGAGAGGGGGTTCTGAGGTCAGAACTGAGGGAAAGTGTTCAGCATCCCACAGTTTAGGCAGAGACTCTCTGGGGGTGGGGCTCCTGGATGCAGAATCGGGGATAAGGGGGAGCCACTCTCGGTTATTGGGGTGTTGTTAGTTCTCCTGTTGCCATTGGTTCTCCTGGAACAGCTTGTGGAGCTTCTTCCTGATCAGAACTCAGGGTGTTCTCATCAACAGAGGAGCTCGGGACCTTGTCACTGAGAACGGTTGGGGTTCACTTTGGGGGAGCTCTGGTCCCTACTCTGAGCATCACTTCCTGTGCCTGCTGGCACAGCTCCTTCACCCCACTGGTGCAGACTTTCTAGCTTCCACCTCTGACCTTTGGGCCTTCCCACCACAGATCCATGGAATAGACTTGCACGAGACACTGTCACGGGCTCTAGGTCTTCAGCCGGGCTCATGCAGGAATTTGCCTTGTGATCTGGGTCTTCAGCTGGATTTCTGGAGTCTATAGTGTGTGGACTGAATTCTTGCACTTTTTGTGTTTGACTATTTGGGTGACTATTATAAAATACTTCTACAAAGTGTGTGTCCTGTATGTAATTGTTCTCCTTGTAATCCCTAACTACAACAATAAACAAAGATCAAAATAAAAGGTAGATACTAGAAAGCAGGGAAATAGATGCTTTTCAAAGGGGAAGGGGAGCAGAGATGGAGCGAGGAAGGATGGAGGGAGAGGAAGGGAGGAAAAGGAATGGAGGTGTGGGAGGGGCATGCACCAACTCCAAATGACAAAAGCAATTATGGGCTACAAATAAGAGCCAAGAAAACATGCTCTGAAAACACCACACTCTTGTGCATCTCAGACACCATAAAAACCAAAAAAAGAGAAGCTCACAAAGCAGGAAACTGAGGCTCCGAGAGGTTAGGGGGCTTTCTAAGGGTCTCACCCTTAGAAAAAGGAAGACATGGGCCCTGAGCCCAGCTCTGTCTCCCTCCGGCACCCTGGCCCCTTTACCCCACTGCTTCCCGGCACCTCGACGCGCTGGCCTGCACTGTGCTTTCCTCTTCCGGTCGCAGCCTGGCCCTGCCTTGCTGTTTACCTTCTCCTCCGCTAAGGCTGCCTCTGCCCTGGCCACAGGACTCCCTGGAGGGAGCTTTGCCTTCTTTGTCTCTGTGTCTCCCAGGAGATCAGTGGGTGCTGGAAGGTCGCTCGGTGGACTCCACATTGCTGTGTCCACTGCAACGCTGGCCCTGGTGGTGCACACCTGCGAGCCCACCACTCAGGGAGGCTGGGCAGAAGGTCTCAAGAGCAAGCCCAGCTGGGCCACTTAGTCCCGTAGCAAGAAAGACCCTGTTTCCAAATAAACTATATAGAAAGGGCTGGGGATGGAGCTCAGGGCAAAGGGCCTGGGTTCAACCCCCAGCATTGCCAAAAACCAAAACCAAGAGTGTATCTGTTCCCTCCCTTGTCCTTGCCTGTGTCTGCCTTACAATCTGGTCTCCCTGCAGTCCGTCCTAGAGCAGTGAGGACAGAGGCCGCTGCCCTGGGCTGTCGCATTCCCTGCTCGGCCTCCAGCCCCCTCACCTGCCTCTCCTCACCTGAGACGCAGAGCAGCAGCAGCTCCCACAGTGGGCACCCCTGTGCCCCCATCTCCTCCATCCTTCCTCCTCCCAGGTTCCTCGACTGCTGGAGGACGCGGCCCAACGCAGTATGTACCATCTTCCCTCGAGGCTGTGCTCTTTCTTTTCTTTTCTTTTGCAGCAGGGTCTCTGTATGGAGCCCAGGTTGGCTTGAACTCATGGCAATCCTCTTGCCTCAGCCTCCTGAGTGCTGCGATTACAACTTGCACTACCATGCCTGGCTCCACTGTCTCTTTTGATTGAGAAATCCTGAGGGAAACGTGACACCAGGGGACAGCTTGGGAAATGCACAAACTGAAGAGAGGAGAGGCCTGCTTCCTCCTGTCTTCCTATGCCACAGTCCTGTTGAGAAACATTTGATTCCCCCTCTATACCCATTGCCTCCTTCCGTACCAGAGCAAGTCGAGCCCCACCCAACTGCCCTGAGCTCAGAGCCACCACCATCACTGGCCACTGACCACTACTACTTCCCCAAACCCCTCACACCATTCCCCCACACCAGAAATTTTATTAGTCAGCTTCCTGTTGCTGGAACACACACTCAACACTCATGCATGGAAGAAAGAAAACATTTTAAATTTCTATTCGCAAATGTTGGCAGTACATCATGGCGGCCCTCGCCCGGGAAGCTGCTGTGTGCACGTAGCCCATCTTCCCCTTTCTCCTTGCCCTTCTCCTCCCTCTGTGTCTTGGTTCACATCTTAAGAGGATTCAATCCCTGGTCAGTGGCTCCAAGGCAGAGGCGTCATGGCAGAAAGACTTGGAGGAGAAAAGACGTTTAGTTCGCAGCAGCTGGAGGCAGGGCAACAGTACCAGAAAGGCAAGGCTGAGGGGTTGGATAGAGACCCCAAGGTCACACCTACAGGACCCCCAGACACACCCAGGTGCCTTGCACAGCTCCGAAGCCACTCAAACTGACCAATGAGCTTCCGCACTACAGGCCCGAGGCAGGCGTCCAGCTTCTTCACCTTCCGGGCCCAGTTCGAGCCTCTCTGATGTCCCACTTCTTCTGTCTCACTCTGCCCTTTGTTCTCAAGCACAGGCATGCAAAAGCTCACTCAGGAAGCCTGGTACTCTGGACTCTTCCCTGCACCCAGAGACTGGGTCGCAGCAGGACTGCAGAGAGGCCCAGCTGGGCATCTGCACTTGTACAGGCAGCGTGGGTGAATCCAGCGCAAACGAGTCAAATAGACCCTTCCTACAAATACTCTGTGTCCCTGCGGCCTGTCTTTGCTGTGCTCGTGTGTGGGGTTTGGACATCTCTGGCCCCTCCTGTTCACATAGTCACGGAGGCCATAGTGAGGACTGAGGCAGGATAACGGCATGGCGATGCCCTGCTTCTTACTTGTCGCCATACTCCAGCCATGGCAGGAAATCCCTGCAGCGCTGTAGGCTGTGCACAGGTGCTGTCATGGCTCGGTTCTCCAGCACAAAACCCTCACTCTTGTTGGGGGACTAAGGCCCCCTAGCATGCGGGGCTCCATTCACCCTCCACCCAGGTGCAGCTGCAGTGAGCTGAGTGCCTTGACCTCAGCTTAGCCAAGCACGTGGCTGCCCAGGACTCCGGACCCCGAGGCTGGAAGCCACACATGATGCTTTGGGCAAGATCTACACAGAGCAGTTCAGCACTCATTCAGAGCCCTGGAAGAGCTCATGGAGAGTGATTGGTGATTCGAGTGTTCAGGGCAGGCTCGTCAATGAACACATAGCCAAGCCAATGGCCCCTGCTCTAACCTCACCCGTGGTCTCTCCTTGGCTTCTGCTTGCATTCTGAGCCCAGAACTTGTGTTTTTTCATTGAGTCTGTGACTTCCTAGTGTCCTCCTGCAATTCCTCTGCCATCTGGAGCAGAATCTGGGCTGGCACCAAGGACCACTTCTGGTACTGCTGAGGTGGTACCGTACCCACTGAGGCAGTGGGGAGCTCCTGAGCCCCAGAAGATTCACTGAGCACTCAAGATCAGACAGAGACTGCAAGGTGCAGAGCTGGGACTCCAACTCCAAGGCTTGCACAATGAATCACACAACACTGTCGGATCAGCAGAGGTCCAGGGGGCTCCCTGGAACTAAGGAATCAAGGGTTGTTTCACAACATTATGGGGGAGCCCAGGAGACAGAAGGATGCTTTGGTACCCTGGCACTGGAGACAACCGTCAGTCATGGCCTCTGCTGGTCCTGCGGGGCAGGTGGACAGAGCGGCTAGAAGCTTGGGACGGCAGCTGTGTGTTCAGAGAGGGTTATAGCCACCCCTACCACTGTCCCCACTCTTCTCCGCTGCCACCCAGTCAGAATCTGGTGCCCAAAGGAGCCCACTGATGGCCCACATGGGTCAGGCTTGGGACAGAAGAGGGAGAAAGGTGCGGAGGGTGACTGCAGGTGCGGAGGGCCAGTGTCTGGGTAACCATCTGTAGATCCGCAGGGCCTGGGGCTGAGCCCTCACCTCACACAGGAGGATGGGACTCAGGTGGCTCAGGGGCCACAGTGCCACAAACAGTGCCCCAGCCCACTGTGCTTCTCCTGTTAGCATCTAATTCCACCTTTGCTGTGCTGGCCTTTGTGTGAGCTTCATAAACCCAAGCAGCCCTGGGACTGCTCCCAGGAGGACCCTCAGCAGCTGCCCCCATGGGCACCTGGGTTCCTTTGGACAGGAGAACAGACGCTGTCTGGGATGAATGGCCTTGGGGTCCAGTCATTCTGGGATGAAATGGTTCCCCAAGGAGCCTTCCAGGCTCCAAGATGAAACCAACTCCACTCGGATTTCCAGTGGCTCCTAACCGGGGATTAGAAAGGAGCTGGGTGTGGTCAAGGCCCCACTATGCAGGGTCCGAGCGCAGCTCACTGGGCAAGTGGAGAGTGCCATGTGCCAGCAGCCTGTGCCCGGGACCCAGGATGCACTCACAGGAGCAGGGGAAAAGTCCAGCCCACGGAATGGAACGTGCTTTCCCAAAGCGAGATGCACAGCGAGAGAAAAGGTGTGACTGCTCCTAGTGACTGCAGGATGAAAGTGGACTTGACCCTTGCCCAGCTGGAAGGGGACAGACCCTCCATCCTTTCCCACCCACGAGGTCACCTCAGCCCTAGAGCCCAGAAGGGCAGGAAATAACTAGACCCTGTTTGAAAGCTGGTAGGAGCTGCAAGTTGCAGAGGAATGGCACGGCTTTTTGATGGGGGACAGTGGGAGGGTCCCAAAGACACTTTGAGAGCTGGTAGGGAGCTGGGGACAGACTCAGAGGAGGAGGAAGTGGGGTGAGGTAGGGGCAGCCTCCACACCCAGGCAGAGAGACCTGGTCACCCCTCCATGTCCACCCTGCTGTGATTCAAGGGAAAATGGCTTTAGAGGGGTGGTGGGGAGCTTTCGGCAGGCGAGCCGCAGCCAGCTGTTCTTGTCACTGAAAGTTCTAGAAGGTTCCCCACCACTGCTGTAAGCAGAAGCAGTGCCCTGGCTTTCTATGGTTTCACACTCCTGGCTTTAAGGCTGTCCACCCAGTCCCTCTGCAGTTTCCCTTCCTGCCTGTGAGTGGTGGCTGATCACTCCTGTAGCCTCCACCGGTCACGCTCACCTCCACCTTCCTGGTTATCTTCAGGACCCAAAGAAGAAATGCACAGTTTGTCCAAAGCTGTCCACCCCACCCTTCAGACCATCTACCCCCCCGTGTCCGGTCACCGTGCTCGGCCTTCCTGGGTGTCCCTGTCCAGGAGCTCCGTTACAAACAGATCGGCAATTCAAGTACCCGGGGTCCTTCTTGCCTCAAACAAAGAACTGGAGGCGACGAGCCACAAACAGTGCCACAAGTTTATTTGAAAAACGAAGGGCGAAGGGTAACAGGAAGAACTAGCTCAGCGGAGTGAACTTGGGCTGAACAAACAGAGAACAAGATTTTAAAAAACAAAGTTAAAACTGCACCCTGCGTCCAGAAGTTGAGGAGCAGGGTGTCTGGGGGGTCATGAGAGCAGGCAGCTCCTGGCGTCTGTGGGAGTCCAGGAGTCGTCGCACCTACAGGGTGCTGAGAACACGTGCCACTGCCCGGGGATCTTGCCATTGGCCACTCTCCAGCCAGCTGTGCTGGGTCCTGTCTCATCTATCAGTTTCTCACCCCGGTTCTGACCTGGCCTGGTGGCATCTTGTCATCTGCTCACCTGGTGACTGGATATGTCAGGAGGTGACTGCCATCAAAAGGAGAAACTGAGGCAACTGATCCCGTGGCTGAGAGGGCAGCAGGCTTCCCCAGTGTGTTTCCATCCAGGTCGTCAAAATGGTCCAGTCCAGGGGAGGACCACCGAGAGAGGTCTCGGCTGTGCCTTCTGAGACTCGCAACCCCGCAGACAGCCACAGCAGGGCGTGGTGGGCTCTATCTCTTCTTCACGCCAACCAGAAGGCAGCATGGAGGGCCAGCTTATGCTGGGGCAGTGTCCTCTCCTCCGAGGAGCCCAAGCACACAGTCACAAGGAGTGGGACGGGCTGGGCCAGGAAAGGGGGATCCTGAGCCTCAGAAGTCACCCCGCTTTCCCTCCCACACTCTCTTTGGCACCACTGCCGGATGGACATAGCTCCAGCTGGAGGTGAGGGGTCGGGGTCAAGCGTTCATCGCCCAAATGACTGCTGGGTGACAACAAACAGGGCGATGAAGACCAGGCTCTTGTGCAAGAGTCCAAAGACCACAAGAATGTGGATGCTGAAGAAGGGGACCCTGGGGAGAAAGACACTGAATGAATCGTCCCTGGCGAGGACACTGACGGGATTTCTTCCAGGTCCGCAGAGGCCTCCCACACCTTCCCCACCTCACCGGGCCCGGGCAGGGCCGCTGGTTTCGTTTCCCGTAACACAGCTGCTCAGTGGAATCTGGGCTCACGGCCAGGGGAGGCACAGGGAGGAAGGATAGCCCTGGTGGCTTCAGCTTCTCTGTGATGAGTAGAGAAAGTGGCCCCGGGGGCTGGGACACTGTCTTTATTCTCCATCCCAGATCTGTTTCCTATGTTAGCCCAAACCTCCAGCCTCAGTTTCTTCATCTATAATTCAACAATTCAACCCTAAAGGAAATCCCGCCATAAAATTTTAGGTTTGAGCAAAACGATTCTACAAGTCTCACATGGATATCGGCTGACACCATAAAAACAAGGAGTGAGACCAGCAGCCTGGCCTGTCCATCAGCAGATGCAGGAGAGGAGAGAACACAAGGACTCTACGTGCTAAGACGCGGACACAAAGAGAGATGGATGTCCACAGACAAACAGAAGGCCATCCCTGTGACCTCGCAGGACGCTGTTCCAAAATTTAAAACCTTTTAAAAGGCTGGGGATGTAACTCAGCATGAGGGCCCTGGGTTCAATCCCCAGTACTCCCAATCGCTACAAGAGAAATTAACACCCGAGGGAAACTGCAGTCCTGCAAATCAGCAGAACTGTGTTAGTGAATAGTCTCGCGGTGTCTGCAAAGGTGTACGAAGAAACACAAAATCTTTCTATAACTCTGAATCCCCAAAGGATTTCAATGAATGGGAAAAAAAAAACTACAAAGTTTCCAGAATAGAATCAAGCACAATTAAGCAAAGCAATAATTTTGAAATCAGCACATTTGCCTGTGCAAAATTTATAACCAAACGCACAGGTTGCTAAAGAGGGAGGCACAAGGCACAAGAGCAAAAGTCAAAGAGCTCCTCTGTGCTGATGTCCACCCCGGCCCCCTGCCCTGCCCTGCCCTGTGTCTCAGGGGATGCCATGCCCAGGCCTCCTGGTCCTGGTCAAGCTCCCCCGAAGCGGTGCTGGCTACCGGGTCCCCAAGACAGAGAAGCCAGAGTCTGTCCTGTCCTCCGTGGTTCAAACCGCACCCACTACCGTGCCTGGCTCTGCGCTGGCTGGAGCTCAGCTGCCTGCAGGTCCCTGCTTTGGGGCTCACTGACTCCATCCCCAGCCCAGCTCTGCCTTCTCCCCGGGAGCCCTCTGCACACACCCATCGCAGGGCATCTTTAGGGGCTGCACACGGGCTCCCCTGCTGCCCTAGATGCCTGGAACCTGCCTGCCGCTGGCATCCTTTGGGCTGCCCGGACCCCACGACTGTGAGTGCAGAAATACAAATGCTCTAAGCTCAGTGGTCCACACCTGTAACCCCAGCCTCTGGCGTGAGGATTACATGTTCAAGTCTAGCCTGGGTACTTGCCTGAGACTGTCTCAAATAGTTTTTTTTTTTTTTTAAAGCTGAGGCTATAGCTCAGTGTGAAGGCCTTGAATTCGTTCCCAGTTCTGCAAAATAAGTAAATTAAATAAATAAATATTCCAGGTCCTCTGCCCTTTGACAGGGACACCTCCAGTGTGATCTGGACCTCCTTGGCAGGGTGGAGCCAAGTCACTCCCTGAGCCTGGCTAGCTCATGAGGCCTCACTTGGTTCCCATCCCTTCCTCTTCCCTCTCCTGGTGGCTCTGCTGATGATGACTTCCTGAAGCATTTTAACCGGACTGCTTCCCTCTCCGGAAGTGACCCCGAGAAGGGTGACATTGGTCTCCCCAAAGTCACAGGGGACATGCCCTGGACAGACAGTGCAGGATCCGCCCCCTTCCTGCTCCTTCTTCCCCATACCCTTCCCGCAAGAGAAGTGTGCTGCCACCGGCTGCCACCACACACATGAGGTCAACAGGTGACGGGGAGGGAGAGAGTTAATATTCCCTCCCACAGGGGAAGGCCTCAGAGTCTGTTCCAGTGACAGAGTGCTAACACATCTGCCAGTCATGGACCTGGAAATCTTATTTACAGACACTGAGACTGGCGCCACCTATGGGCTTGAAGTAGAATATCAGTACTGAAATCCACTGAGAGATAGAGACAGACAGAGATAGACAGAGAAAAATGAGCCCTCCAGACGATCCTAGCCTACAGCCGCTGCCACAGGCCAGACAGCCCTGCGGGTCTAGGACCTCTGCTGTGTGGACAGCAAAGTGAAGCAGAGAGGTCCCCACCTATGCAAGGTCACACAGGCTCCATTAGGACCAGGGAGCTTGACTCAGAGTGACTTCTGTTACCCATGGGACCCTGCAGGTTGCTTAGCAAGATGCCATTTGCCTCTGGAGGGTACTGTGGTGTGCGAGGAACCCAGGCATGGATCTGGATAGGACGGCGTCTGCCTCTCACGCTGTCACCCCCTCTCCCCCCGGGAATTTCCACCAAACTCGGGTGACTCTGGTCTGCTTCTGCCCATGCACCTCGTCCCTGATTCCCCACACCCCCTCAGCACGCACAACGAGGAACAAAGGGCTCCACATCCAACCCAGGGGACCCGGGCCTGGAAACCATACCTGATGACACCCGTCACGTTCGTGAAGTTGACTCCTGGGTCAAGAGAAGCAGTGGTTGGCTTAGAGAGAGGCTGAGTCACAGCGCTGGTTGTGCTCAGCCTCTTTGTGGTGCGAAAGATGTGAAGACCAGCCGACCTGGAGGTCGGACGCGTGGCGGCGGGAAGAGCAGGGTCTGTGGCCAAACCCTGGCATGTCGGGTCGGAGGCCTGGGGACCTGAAGATTCTGCAAGAAGACATTGGAGGAACGGGTGGGCGGGCGGAAGGATGGATGGCAGATGAATGGGTGGATGGATAGATGGACGGATGGATGGAAAACAGATGGAGCTGAGGAGGGAAATGAACACGGCCACGCAAGAAGCAAAGTTTTCTTTTACTAAAACCAAAGAAACCATATAAGTTAGCCTGAGTGATAGACAAGAAGAAGGAAAGAAAGAACAGAGGGAGGAAAGGAAGAAAGGAAAGAAGAGAAGAATTTTCAGGCTACTTGTGTGAAGGGGGCCTGCGGATTTTCACCCTCTGTGAACCCCACCTTCTCCAGGAATACTTCCCTTATTAATCCCCGTAAACCGAGCACTCTGCCTGCCAGGAGTCTTTATGAACTCGCTGCAAGGCACCTTGCCGTGGGCCTGGCCCTCTCCCGGTGCTGGGAATGTGGACCTAGCTCCCTTTTCTCTGCCTTTCTTAATTCATCCAGGATTAGCTGCTCCCCAGAGCCCTGCAAGGCATGGAATCTTCCTCCCAGATTCGGAGATTCATAGGGGAGGCAGATGAGGAGCCCAGAGTTCCCATCCGGTGGAAATGTGATCTGTGAGGGGGGCACAAAGGAGCCTGGAACTCGTCCCTGTAAATGGGAGTCACATCTGCATTCGAAGCAAGCTCCCCCGCTGCGTGACTGTGCCCACAGGAAAGTCCGAGGCGCACTCTTTCAGAAGCACGGAGGAGGCCACCAGCTGCTTCCTTGGGAGGGGGACAGGGGGCCCCAGGAGACTTCGCAAGGACATAAACTATCCCAAGTCTGCCGCTATGGGCAGAAGTCAGGGACACTGCTAAGCAGCCTGCAGTGCAGAGATGGGCCGCACTGCAGGCCATCATCACACCCCAAACACCATCAGAGCTGACCTTGAGAACCCCTGGGCCACAGAGACCCCAGTCCCCTCTTGGTAGATGGACGAGGGTAACCACAGGCATTAGGAGTCACCGTGAGGTTTGGTCCAGGGAACCTGGTTGATGGGAGGCCCGGCAGGGAGGATGCAAGATCTGAGCTGCATTCTCCCCCAGACTCTGGGCTCTGGAGAGCCTGAGGGGCCGGCGGTGAACCTCAGGCCTGGACAACCTGAGTGCATCCTGCTGTGGGCTGGGTGATCCATCCGGCCTCTGCTTCTCCTGCTGAACACAGACCCTGCTTGCTGGGCAGCCCCAAGGCTGCAGGTTTTTCCTGAGCACTCTCTTTCGGGCTCCCACTCAGCGGCACTAGCCCAGGCAGTGTCTGCTCAGGCCAGCCCTGGTGGCAGATTTCTCAGTGCTCAGACTCAGGTTCCTAATCCTCCCCACCACTGCCAGACTCTAACTGCTCCCGATGCCCCCACTCACAGTTTTCTCGGTGCTCAAGTGTGGGCGTGGGGCGTGAATCAGAGATGCCCGTCATGGTGTCCCCACTGGTCTGGCCACAATGACTTCCCTGCTCCTCTCTCCTACCCCGATTCTTCCTTCTCCTCCCTCCTCTCACTGGGGGCCTCCTCCTGTTTGCTGAACCTGGCCCTCTGGCATTCTCGGTGACTGTGTATTCCTGAGGCCTGCCAGTGAGAGACTGGGAGACCCAACGCCCCAACTTCTGGTCTAGAACTTCCCCCCTGCTCTCTGATCTCTCTCTACAGCTGCCCCAACTGGCAGATAGGGCCTCACCCCACCCGCCGTGCTCAGGAGACCCCTCCCCACTTGGGTCCCCACTGCTCACCTGAGCACAGCACCAGCCGAATCCGATACGACAGGCGAACGGGGGGATCGTGGAGGATGACACACTGGTACAGCCCCACATCCTGCCTCTGGAGCTGCATCATGGTGATGGTAATGAAGCCAGTGCTGGGGCTGTCCTCCAGGAGGAACCTCCCCACCTGGGCCCGATTCATGTCATCGTTTTGTGTCTCTGTCTCCACCAGAGTCGTTGGGGGGCCCTGGCTCTCCACTCGCTGCCAGGCCTTGGAGTGGTACTTGTACCTCTGGTTATAGTGGTAGAACTCTGTGAAGTTTCGCCCTTCCACTAGGCACCTGCACTCCTCACCCAGGTCTTCCGCATGGAGCCCTAGGGAAGAGCAAGCAGGCCCTGAGCCACGGCGCTGAGTCTGTAACCTCGGGCTCGGCCCCTGCAAGGCACGAGGCCAAAGCTGCAGGGTCCAAACAGCGCGGCCAAGCACCCGGGAGCCACTGAGCTCCGGTCAGTCCCCTCGATGTTGTTCAGCAGTTCGGTGTAGGGCCGGGAACAGACGCCCCTGTGTGGTGTGTGTGAGGCATAACATCGATCATGTTGAATCCGGGTATCTACAGGAGCTATTCGGTCTCCATTTGGGTTCTTTTGTAATTGGTAAAATAATTAACTCTCATGTTGGAGAACTGGTGCATACATGATAGTATCTTGACTAGTTCTGATCTCTCTCCCTTCCATCTTACCCCACCAATTGTAAGTTTTCAATAATAGCAAGAAGCTGAAGGGGCCTGCCTGGTGGCACACACCTGTCATCTCCTCACTCCGGGAAGAAGAGGAGGAGGAGGAGGAGGAGGGGCTGCCAAGATGAGCTTCATCTAGATAACTTAGCAACCCTGTCTCGAAGTAGAAGATAAAATAAAAGGCCTGGGGACGCAGGTCAGTGTGAAGGCTCTAGATTCAATCCTGCCACCGCAAAACAAAACAAGACAAACAAACAACAAAACCACAGCTTTATCCCCTGCTTTCTATTCTGCCCAGGGCTGTCCTGATGTGCCCCCTTGCTGCCTGGACACAATCCCTTCTATAAGCATCTCAATGTCCCCAGTGTCCTCTTCCCACTCCTCTCCCCCTGTATCCCCTCCAGTCACCCCAGGGGAACCCCACCCCAGCCTCCCCAGCGGGCAGGACTCTCTTTCTCCTCTTGGCCTTCATAGCAGGGGTCACACCACTGCTGACACACCTCCACCACCATTATCCTCATCATCACTGTCCGCCATGACTTTTATTAAGCCCATCATATGCCCTAAACACTGAGTCAAGTATCCAGCCAAGTCATCAGACAGTATTTAATTCTCAAGACAACTTTCTGATGTATGTGCCAGCCACAAAATGAACAGCTGTAAATAGGTGCTATTTACAAATGATGACACTAATCTGTCCCCCAAGAATGGCTCAAGCCATTCTCTCTAGGAAGAGACGGTGAGGGTGACAAGGATTAAAAGTGCCTAATGGAATGAATGTACCAGGTAAGGTAAGAAGTTAAACAGAAGGGAGAGAGAGAATCAACAACAAGAAAGTGAGGCAGTGGCAGGAATAAGCCGCTATTGATCAGTGATAACTCAATCCCAATTCTCCAATCAAAAGACACAGACTGGAAAAATTACGACATAAAACCCAAGAGTATGCTGCTTACAAGAAACACATTTCATACCCACACACAAACTGATAGGTTAAAAATTAAAGAATTGAAAACAGTATTCTGTACAGAGCAAATTTTTAAAAATTGCAAGTATAGTTATCTTATATTCAGACAAACTGGACTTAAACCAAAACCAATCAAAAAAGAAAAGGAAAGCACTCCATAATGGAAGGAAACAACACAACAGGAAGACAAAACAATTATTAACATATATGCACCAAGCAATGGTGCACACAACTTTATCAAAACAAGTACTAATGGTCATAAATTACCAGACAACCATAAGCACAATTATAGTGGGGGACCTTGGTACCCCACTAATACAGATAGGTAAACCAGACCCAAAAAATCAACAAAGAAATATCAGAGTTGGAAAAAAAAATCTGAAATATGTTCTTAATAGATATCTGTAGCATTTTACCCCAAAACAGAATGTATATTCTTTTCAGCAGTGCATGAAACTTTCTCCAAAATAAGCCACATAGTAAACCATAAATCACCCCATGCATTTTATTAGATCACAAGGTACTGGAGGGAGAAATTAAAGACAAAAGAAAGCACAGAAGTTATGCAAATGCATGGAAACTAAACATACACTGTTAAGTAAAAAGTGGGTTACAGAATTAATCAAGGAAGCAATAAGGCAGTTTCTAGAGCCAAATGATAATGCCAGAACAACATCCCAGAACTTATGGGACACAATGAAAATAGTCCTAACAGTGAGGTTTACAGCCATGATTACCCACATTGAAAATGCAGAAGGATCCCAAATAAATTACTAATAACGGACCTCAAGGTCCTAGAAAAATAAGAACAATCCAAACTCAAAGCTAGTACAAGGCAGGAAATTACCAAACATCAGACCACAAAGTAAGGAAATTTGAGACAAAAATACAAAGAATTAATGAACTGAAAAGTTGGTTCTTTGAAAGAATAAACAAAATTGTCAACCTCTTAGCAATCTAATCAAAAGGGAGAAAGTGGGCTGGGGATACAGCTCAGCAGCATAAGTGCGTGAGTTCAGTTCCCTGCCCCCAACAACAACAACAACAACAACAAAATGCAAAAGAAAGAAAGAGAACAGAACCCAAATCAATGCATTCATAAATGAAAAAAGCACAATCACAACAGACACTACCAAAATCAAAAAGGTTTTTCACAAGTACTTAATATCAATGCACCACGGATTTAGCTCAGCAGCGTAAGCTCCTACCTGGCCAGTGCAAGGTTGTGAGTTTAATCCCTGGTACCAAAAAAAAAAAAAAAAAGAAAGAAAGAAAGAAAAAGAAAAAGAGATTAACACAGTAAATTGGAGAATTCAGAAGAAGTGGGTAGATTCTTAGATATATACAAGTTGCCAGAACTGAACCATGAAGATTTAAAAGCCCAGGATAACCCAATAACAGGCAGTGAAATTCAAGCAGTAATAAAAAGCCTGCCAAGTAAGAAAAGCCCGGGTCTGGATGAGTTCCCTGCTGAATTCCAGAAGAACCTCAGGGAAGTCCTGACACCAACACTCCTCACACTCCTCAGGGAAGCCGAAAGGGAAGGGGTTCTCCCAAAGTCACCCTGGATGCTGCCATCATCCTGCTTCCAAAACCAGACAAAGATCCAACAAAAAAAAAAAGAGACCTGCAGACCAATTCCTTTAATGAATACAGATGCAAAATTCCTTAACAAGATACTGGCAAACAGAATGCAACAAATCAACAATAAAGTCACACATCATGACCAAGTAGGTTTCATGCCAACAATAGGTGCAGAAAAAGCCTTTGACAAAATTCAACATTCTTTCATGACAAACTCAATGAAGAAAACAGATACAAGAGGACTGATCTCACTCTAATAAAAGCCATTTATAACAAACCTACTGACAACACCATGTTAAATGCAAAAGAAAAAATAAAACAACTTTCCCTCTAAAATCAGAAACAAGACAAGGATGCCCCCTATCACCACTACTGTTCAACACAGTACTCAAAATAGTAGCAAGAACAATTAGGCAAGAAAAATTTTAGAAAGGGATCTATCTAGGAAAGGAAGAAGTCAAATTATTATTATTTGCAAATGACAAGATCCTCTACATAGAAGACCCAACCCCCCCCCCAAACTTTCCAGAATAACCAAATTCAGTAATAAAGCAGGATATAAAATCAACACACAAAATTCAGTAGCATTCCAGTACGCTAATCATTAACCCACAGAGAACAAAAATACCATTCACAATACCTCCAAGAAAAATTAAACAGGAATTAACATAACAAAGGAAGTGAGAAGCTCTGCAACGAAAATTACAACATTTTGAAAAAGGAAATTGCAGAGGACATCACAAAATGGAAATTCCCTGTTCCTCAAGAGCCAGAACTAGTACTGTGTGGCCTACATTACCGTAATTCTAAAATTGATATCACATTTAACGCAACCCCAATCAGAATTCCAACAGTACTCTTTTGATATCACGTTTAATACAGTCCCAATCAAAATTCCAACAGAATTTCCACTATTCACAGAACTGGAGCAAACAAATTCTCAAATTCATCTGGAACCAGGTGAGACCTGTCATAGCAAAAGGAATCCTGGGGGAGGAAAAAAGAGAGCAGAGTGAGAGGCATTTGGACTTGAAGTTATTTACAAAGCTACAGTGATAAGAACAGCATGGTACTGACACAAAACAGAAATGAAGATCAATGAAACAGAATAAAGGATCCAGAAACACCCTGAAGCGTGTTCAAGTGTTTGATCTTTGAAAAACAAACAAAAACACGCCCTCTTAATAAATGGTATTGGGAAAGTTTCTGTCCACGTGCAGAAGATTGAATCTAGACCCGTATCTCCCACTATGTACCAACCTAAAATCAAAATAGATCAAGTAATTATATATTAGAACCAAGACGTGCTGGAAGACAAAATAGGTAAAATTCTAAAAGTCATAGGCGGGCCAGAGATTTAGCTAGTTGTACAGGACCTGCCTGGCAAGCATAAGGTCCTGAATTTGATTCCTGGCACCCTAACAAATAAAATAAAATAAAAATCATAGGCATAAGTAAGGACATTCTGAACAGAACTCCAGTTGCACAGGAAACAGTTCCGAGAATCAGTAAATGGGATCTTATCAAATTACAAAGCTTCTGCATAACAAAACAAATTACTAACACACTGAAAAGACAGCCTAGAGATTAGGGAAAAAATTGGTAGCTATGCATCAGACAGAGAATCATATCTAGAATACATAAAGAAGTCAAAACTTAGCCTCCCTTCCAAATAAAAGACCCAAAGGAAATTGGCAAGTGACATGAATAGACATTTCACAGAAAAAGTTCAAATGGTCAATAAATACATGAAGAAACGCTCAACATCGCTGGCCATTAGAGCAATGCAAATTAAAACAACACAGAAATACCATCTTACCCCAGAAAGAATGACCAATACCAAGAAATCAAATAATAACCAGCACTGTTAAGGCTGCAGGGGGAAAGGGCCCCTCTGCACTGTCGGTGGGAATGTAAGCTAAGCTGCATAATGACTGTGGAAATCAGGGTTCAGAGTCCTCAAAAAGATGAAACTAGAAACTTCATTTGATCCAACTATTCCACTTTTGGGTACCTTTCTGAAGGAGGCGGAGACATCGTATTACAGGGGTCCACGCATGCCGCGTTTACAGCAGCACCATTAACCACACCTAAACCTGGGAAGCAGCCTTCGCCCACCAACAGGTGAAAGGTTAAAGAAACCAGTATTAGCACACGTGGGGCACGACTGTCATAGAGAAAGAAAACCTTGAGTCACTTCTAGGAAAACGGATGCACCCTGAGAGAGCCCCACTAAGTGAAATAAATTAGACCCACAAACTTAAATACCGTGTAATTTCTGTTATATGAGAAACTCAAAGTGTACATAGACAGCAAAATAAAAGATACTAGATACTAGAAAGCAGGGAAATAGATGCTTTTCAAAGGGGAAGGGGAGCAGAGATGGAGCGAGGAAGGATGGAGGGAGAGGAAGGGAGGAAAAGGAGGTGTGGGAGGCGCATGCACCAACCCCCCACAATGGATGCCATTATGAGCTACAAATAAGAGCCAAGGAAGCATGCTCTGAAAACACCACACTCTTGTGCATCTCAGACACCATAAAAACCAAAAAAAGAGAAGCTCACAAAGGAGGAAACTGAGGCTCCGAGAGGTTAGGGGACTTTCTAAGGGTCTCACGCTTCGAAAAAGGAAGAGATGGGCCCTGAACCCCGCTCTGTCTCCCTCCGGCACCCTGGCCCCTTTACCCCACTGCTTCCGGCACCTCGGCGCGCTGGCCTGCACTGTGCTTTCCTCTTCCGGTCGCAGCCTGGCCCTGCCTTGCTGTTTACCTTCTCCTCTGCTAAGGCTGCCTCTGCCCTGGCCACAGGACTCCCTGGAGGGAGCTTTGCCTTCTTTGTCTCTGTGTCTCTCAGGAGATCAGTGGGTGCTGGAAGGTCGCTCGGTGGACTCCACATTGCTGTGTCCACTGCAACGCTGGCCCTGGTGGTGCACACCTGCGAGCCCACCACTCAGGGAGGCTGGGCAGGAGGTCTCAAGAGCAAGCCCAGCTGGGCCACTTAGTCCCTTAGCAAGAAAGACCCTGTCTCAAATAAACTATATAGAAAGGGCTGGGGACAGAGCTCAGGGCCAAGGGCCTGGGTTCAACCCCCAGCATTGCCAAAAACCAAAACCAAGAGTGTATCTGTTCCCTCCCTTGTCCTTGCCTATGTCTGCCTTACGATCTGGTCTCCCTGCAGTCCGTCCTAGAGCAGTGAGGACAGAGGCCGCTGCCCTGGGCTGTCGCATTCCCTGCTCGGCCTCCAGCCCCCTCACCTGCCTCTCCTCACCTGAGACGCAGAGCAGCAGCACCAGCAGCCCCTGCAGCAGCCACCCCTGCACTCTCGGCTCCTCCATCCTTCCCTCCTCCAGGCTCCTCTGCTGCTGCTAGAAGATGCTGCCCCCAAAGTTCCACAGCTTCTTTTGATTGAGAAATCCCGACGGAAAACGTGACACCAGGGCACAGCTTGGGAAACACCCAACTGAAGAGAGGTGAGGCCTGCTTCCTTCCTGTCCTCCTATGTCACGGTCCTGCCGAGAAACACTTGATCATCCCCCACCTCCTGCACCATGGACGGTCGGGCTCCGTCCGCTGCCTGCTCTCTGAGTCTCCCTCACTGGCCACTGTGACCACTACTTCCCAAAACCCTCACACCGTTCCCCATGTCAGAAATTTCATTAGTCACTTTCCTGTTGCTGGAAGACACACCCAACACCCATAAATGAAACAAAGAGAAAATATTTTAAATTTTTATTCTCACACATTTGCGGTACACAGTGATCACATTTACCTGGGAAGCTGGTGCATCCACGTAACACATCTTCATTCATGTTCCTTCCCTTCCGCTCTCCTCCCTCTTCCTCCCTTCATCTGCAAGGCATTCACAGTCAGCTGCCTCCAGGGCAGGAACTAGAGGAACTGAACACATCACAGAGGAAAGAACAAAGCAGTCTGGACTGTTAAACCCCACTCCCAGAAAGGGACCTGTGTCTGCTGACACAAAGTGTCCTTGAAGGGGAAATAATGGACCAGGGAACAAACTCTAGCCCCAAGAAAACCTCCCTGTTCCAATAAACTGCAAAGCAGCATGAGGTTTTATCCTGAACATAAATCCTTCCTCCTGGCAGGCAAGAGCTGAAGGAGAAATCCACAGTGGTACCTACCATGTTGAGAAGGATAATCAGGAGTTATTTGGGGAAGATGTTAATTGCTTAAGACTGAGCTACAAAGCTACGCTTAAGGATTTCTGAGGTCATCCGACCACAATGACTGGCCGAGAGACTGCCACAAGAAACACAGGCTAGACAAAGATGCCCAGAAAGTTGAAGCTCAGCCCAAGCAGGATGAGGTCCGACTTCCTCTGTGAGAAGCCAAGCTGGTCATGTGTGGTCTTGGGAGGCGGCTGGGTCTAAAATTGCTGGTAGGAAGTCCAGCAGCTGCATGACCTCTCCCACCCCCCGGCCCACCCCCAGCACAGAACTCTGGGATCTGTTCACTCTCCCCAGCTGCCAGTGACATCACGGATACCACTTGGCTGGTTGCCACAGCCTGGGGTGCACGGACAGAAGGGCCCCTGGAGAGCAGGGGCATCTCACAAACCCACAGGAGGTAAAGCCAGGCAGAGGAAACAGTGACACGGGGCACACGGAGACATGGAAAGGAGGAGCAGCTATCCCCCTCATATCTACAGCCCTGCAGACCTGGAGAGAAGCTGCATATTAAAAAACACGCTGGAATTTTTCTTTTGACTCATTTCTCATTTTTTGCTTTGGGTTTTGGAGGATTGGGAATATTTTACTTCCTTTTTTTCTTCTCTGTTTTTCTTTGTTTTCTCATCTTTTCCTGGATCATTCCTTTCTGATAATTTTATCTATTTATGTGATTTTTCTTTTATACTTTAATAGGATCCTTCATCTCTTTTCTCTCCTTTTCATCTACCTCTTCTTTATTTTTCAAATTTTACCCCTCTTATTTTCCCCTCCCCTGTCTCCTCCTTTTTTATTAGTATTACTACTAAGCTTTATTAATTTTTAAATAATGCTAGGAATGGTACTGCACACCTATAATCCCAGCACGCAGAAGATATAGATTTGCCACGAGTTCAAATCCAGCCTGAACTGCACGGCGAGACCCCATCTCCAAACAATCTACAGATATTTAGGTGACTCTATGCTATTGTTGAATTCTTTCTGTTGTTGATGGTGGTATAATCATTGCATTTAGTAGCTATCTACTGTGTGTCAGTATTTGATTTGTCTTTCTATCCATGTTATTGTTACAGGTCTCTTTTCTAGTGCTAAAGGTTGCACAGTGGTAGCTTTTAGGTAATACATAGAAGACTAGTCCGAGATTAACTGGAATTAGTGAAAAATCAGAAGACAGAACAAATGGCATAAAAATCTGATTACAGAGGCAGTAGCACAAAACTTACCAAGTATGGGAGGAAACACTGGGTGTAGTGGTGCAGGAGACTGAGGCAGGAGGACCGCTGCAAGTTAAGGGCAGCCTGGGATATTCTGTGAGTTCAAGATGAGCCTTAAACACATAGTGAGACCCTGTCTCTAACCTCCCTGCCCAAGTATGGGAGAAGAATTTAACATACAGACAAGCAAGATGTGCAGAACTCCAGATAGCCATGATTTGAAAAGAACTAATCCACAGCACACTGCAGGCAAAATCCTGAAAGTTGAACTCCAGCACAGAAAAACAACAAATCACTTATAAATTAGAACCCATGACAATCATAGCAGATTTCTCAACACGATCCCTCAAGGTCAAAAGACATGATGTGTCTCAATCCCTAAAAGAAAACAACTTTCAACTGTCAGACAGAAAGAATTTCAGGAGAGAAAGAAAGCTTCTAACTGAGAGGGACAAAAGGGGCCCCCGAAAGTGGCTGCCCACGACCCCACTTCTCAAGGGTGTTTATTGAGCAAAGCCAAGAGGCAAGGTGGGGCGGGTTCAAGGTGGGACAGAACAATAGCCAATCAGTAAGATGAGAAGCACGGCCCTCAGGTGATACTGATCCAGTCACACAGTGGGACAAGACTATGGTCAGCCAGTGAGGGACAGGGTGGTCACTAGGGTGACACTGATTAAATCGGGATCAAATGAGAGCAAGCACTGGGGCAGACAAAGCCTTTCCCAGAGGGGGTGGGTAAGGAGGCTCAGTCCTCCACCCCACAGTGACTGACGCCCACTTACAATATTAATCACTGGCTATTATCCTTTTTAATAAACTCATTTCCAAAAATATTCATTGTCCCAGTGTGTTAATCCAAAATCCCCAAATTTTATTAACAATCTCAACTATTACTAGATCGTTATGGGCAACCTACTGTATTAATTCACTTATAGAAATAGTGGGTAAAAAATTACAATAGGCCACAAAATTTTCCATTTCATGCAGATTACAAGACCCAAACTATAAACCAGGCACGGTGGCACATCTCTGTAATCCCAGCCCTGGGAGGCTGAGGCAAGAGGATTGCCATGAGTTCAAGGCCAACCTAGGCCAGAAGTAAGTTGAAGGCCAGCCTGAACTACACAGCAAGGCCCCAGTTCAAAAAACAAAGACAAAGAACAAACATATGATGTTATGTCTCATAAACATATACTAATTTAAAGAGGAGGTATTAATGTGCAAAGATAAATAAATAAAACCACATTTCCAAATATCTTGTGCCAGTAGCTGAGGACCTTTCTTCTTGGCTTGGAGCAACGCGTGGGTACCCTCATGATGGTCTCTTCTAGTCCTGCAGGACTGAAAATTTACAACAGTCCCTTAGAACAATGAGGAAAGGCCACAGAGAAGGACCTGGAAGACGCCATAGAGCTACTGTGGTTTGCAGGTAATACTGGGTCCAGGTACAAATTCAAAAATGATAAATACCCTTAGGAAATAAGATCAAACGCAAGACTTAGGTATATTTCTATTCCTGGCAAGAGAAGATCACAAATACGTTTTGTTTATCTTTATAGCAGAGTAACAGTGGTTAGTTGAGTTTATCTTTGGTCTGACTTTTTTTTTTAGACAGTCTCACTATGTAATCAGGCTGGCCTTAAATTCACTACATAGTAGCCCAAGCTGACCTTAAACTCACAGTGATCCTCCTGCCTCATCCTCCCGAGTGCTAGGGTTACAGATGTCAGCCACCATGCACCTGGCTAGTCTGATTTCTGATTAACTCTGTTTTTAAACCACAGTTTCCTCATTTGTGGGTTTGTTTTCATTTTTTACCTCCGTGACCTAAAGTAAGTGTTCAATTTATATTTTTCAAGAAAGATACCTCAGTTTCTTTCATATGAAAATCCCCTCTGTTGCTTTACAAATTAAGAAAATTTAGTGAAGCAGAAAACTACGGGGTCATAACATTTTCCACTCTCAGAAGAAGATAATGTGTTGTTTTCTTGCATTTAATATGGTGCCAGAGAACTCTGAAGTCAACAAGATCCTGTAAAATTCAATCTGAGGAATTTAGCTCAGTGGTGTAAGCAGCTTCCTGGTAAGCATGAGTTTGTGAGTTCAATCCCTGGTACCAAAACAAAAAAAAAGGCGTGAGATTCTCTAAGTCCTTTCTTCTCTCCAGCATAGATGCTCACAGAATTGTGGTTTCCCCAATGTACCTTGAGGTACATGATTGACACTATTTCTATTCAACAGGATTCACTTACCCTTATTTCTCACCCCTTGGACTATTACATCCCGCTGTTTTCTAGAAATTAGGCATGTTTCTAGAAAGTAGGCAGGGCACATCCCCTCTGGTTTGAAATTATTATTAGAAATTATTAGAAATCATTCCTCATTTTGTCCAAAGAAATGTAAGTGCATGTGTTGCTCTCAGAGGGAGTGCTCAGTGGCTTGAACTCCCAGCACTGGCTCTTTTGTCCTGCCGAAGTCCCTGTTGGCTTGGGATGTCTGCAAGGAATCTGCATGGCAGCTCCCTGGAGGTTTGCCTGGACCAGCAAACATCACACAGAAGAGTAATGAACTGTTGTTGAATATGAAGCCACTCAAACCTAGAGGCTCTTGATGACCCCATGTCAAACTAACCTTTCTTAGCTGATAGAATATAGGTCTGTTTCCATTGATTTTGTCTTTTTACACTGATTTTGATCTTGCTAATTTTGCAGTAAGCCCTTTAAATCAGTACACATCTTCCTTCGCCTCAAGTAAAGTTTTCTTCTATTACATCTTAAGTCCTTGGTTCTTCTTGTATTCTCCTGGCCTGTCTTTCAGTGGCAGCACCAACCCATTTTCCGCCTGTTCCTTACTGTGTTGTAGATCATTTTATAGTTCAATTCCTTTTCTCTCTACATTTTGGAAAATATTCTTTTTCTTTCTTTTTGGGTGTGTGTGTGTATATGTGCATACATTGCTATGATACAATGGGAAAGTATTCTAAAGTTCTTATTCCATTGCAATAATTATTACCACAGCAGCAACTGTGACTCAAGAATACGGACACTCAAGGCCAGGGGTGTAGCTCATGGCACAGTGCCTGCCTGGCAAGTGTGAAGTCCTGAGTTCGATTTCTGGTACCAAAAAAAAAAAAAATACCGGCAGTCAGACATGTATTCTTTCCCTGTCCCAGGTAGGAATAATTTTTTTTTTAAAAATGTTTTAACTCCAGGAGGAAATGACCAATTTGTGAGAAAAGCACTACAGATTCTGAGAGTTTAAAGGTCCTTCAAAAACTGCAGAGGTTGGGCTGGGGATTTAGCTCAGCAGCATAAGTGCCTGCCTTGTAAGCAGGCAGTCGTGAGTTCGATCCCCGGTACCGATAAAAAGGAAAAAGACAAAAAAAGCTGCAGAGATTCTTTCCAATTATTCCAAATCTATAGTCAACTAGAGGTGATTTGCTCCCAGCCAGAAGAAATCTGTCAATGTCTAGAGAAATGTTTTGTCATAACATTGACAGGGCAGAGCCAGGTGTGGTGGCACATGCCTGTAATCCCAGCACTCAGGAGGCTGAGGCAGGAGGATGATTGGGAATTTGAGACCAGCCTGGGCTACAACTGAGCTCAAGCCCAGCCTGAACTGCATAGTGAGACCCTGTCTCAAAAAGACAAAATTAAAAAAAAAAAAAAATTGACAGGGAGTGCTCCTGGAACCTAATGGGCAAAGGCTAGGGATGCTTCCCCAGAGAAGTAGGGACCACCCTGACCCAACAGAGGATGTACAGCTGGCCACAGGCAGTGAGATCTAGGGTCAGTGGTGTGCTGACCAAGGGTGCTTTGGAGGCCCAAGGAGCCCATGGCCCCTCCCAAGGCCAGCATCCCACAGAGGAAGAGCGGTCAGGGTGGGACGCTAACACCTACAGGCAGCACCAGCCCCTGGGGACAGGGGCTCCCTTGGGCTCCTCCACATCTACCCTGGAGCTGGGGGAGGGGAGCTCAGGCTGCGGGTAGAGCTGGCCCTGCTGCGGTGGAGGGAGTTGGAGCTGGCAAACAGGTCACAAAGAGTTTTACAGGAAGGGCTGGGCCAGGAGGCAGGGACTTGGGTTCCTTTAGAAATATCCTCAGCCTCTGGGCAGAGCACAGCCAGAAGTCCTAGGGGAGGGCACCAGCTACCAGGGGTGGACACGGAGCTCGCCATTCCTCAGGGAACTCCCACCCCGGGGACTAGAGGAGCGGCCAGGAGGGAAGACAACACTCCCAGGGGAGCTTCTCCCTTGCCATCCCTCAGGCCAAGCTGTCCCCACCAATACCTGTGTGTCTGTCCTTAACTGGCTCCCTGCCATCCTGGGCAGAGTCCACAGGTGGCCACAGCCCCCGCACAAGGGTTCGCTGCCACTTCCAATTCCAAGGGCCTCTGCGAACCAAGAGCAGGTCAGCTGTCCCAAAAGGCAGGTGCTGGGGGGACTCCACCCCTACATGGTGCTGGGTATTAAGCTGGATCTTGTAAAGGGCATAGGGAGGAGCCACCCGGCCCCAGACCCTGCCTGGCCTTCAGCATTCTCCTGGGCTGCTGGAGTCTCTGCGGTGGATCCAGGGCCAGGGACCCGGGAGGATGCATCTCGGGTCAGAGTTACTTCCCGGTCACAATGGGATGGATGATCCAGTGTGTTACAGTCAGGGGAACTGAGTCCCCTGGGCTAATGTTCTGAAATCCCATGTTGATGTGTACTGATGTGGGTCCTTTTGTCATTAACTGTGCTGGAACTCAGGAGTCCTCTTCTTCTCCTCAAGTCTAAAGCATGTCTATCTATCTATAATATATATAGATATTATATATCTATATATATAATTTCCCCTCTCCGCTCTTTTGCAGTGCTCTTTTTTTCTGTTTTTAACTATGTCAGTGTTGGCAGGGTGCCCACACAAATGGTGAGGCCCGAAGTTTGGGGAGCCAAGTTCAGCTGCAGGCGAGGAAAGCACGGGCTCCTCTCTGCATGTGGGTGCGACCCTGCCACACCCCGCTTTCCTGTCCCATCTTCTGTGGTTCAAACCCAGCCTGACGATGCCGGACAGCTCCGGGCAGAGGTCTGCAAACCTCTTCTCACAACAACACCCACTCGCCAGGCCACTGACAAGTTGGGGGCAGCCCAATGTGGGTCTCAGCATTCTGTCCACTGAAACTCAAGTGAGCCGGGTGTGGCGGGGCGGACTTACAACCCCAGCAGTCAGTCTGAGAGGCTGCGGCCAGAGAATCAGGAGTTTGAGCTCAGCCTACAACTTAGTGAGAACTCGCCTCAGAATAAAAAAATTAAAAAAAAAAAAAAAAAAAGGAGGGGCTGAGGATGTAGTTTGTTGCACAGACCCTGGATTCAATCCCCAGAACCCCAAAAAATAAGGGAAAAAATTTAAAAGCTAAGCGATCCTAACTCACACGCATGGCATTTCCACGAGAGTGACACGGACGCGCTCTCCCCACCACACCGCTCAGTGCCTGCCGGCTCGTGCTCTGCTCTCTCCCAGCTCTTCCACTGAGTCCCTCAGCAGCGGCATCTGAGACCCCAGCATTGTCCCCTTCCTGTGGTCCCCGTCCTCCGCAGGCACAGCTACTCCTACTGGAAGACAAGGGCACTGCACCCCGGGGCAGCACAGTGGACCCAGAGTCGCATGCCCACAAGCCAGCACTGCCACCTGCGACAGCCACTCATCAGCCAGGCTCCCCTGACGGCACTGGAGCCCTGACGCCCAGCAGCTCTGCCTCCCTGTAAATCGCGTCTTTTGGACGCTAATCTAACAGCCCTGATTTCACGCACAGAAGCGACCTGGGCAGGGACCCTCCCCTCCCTGTGCTTCCTGGCTGGAACTGGGCTCCACGTCTTCCTCTCTCTACCTACCTGCAACACCCTCAGGGCCTCCAGGGTGGAAGCTACGGCTCTGGTCACCAGGTAGCCAGGGCACAAAGTATCTGGACAGCCAGGTGTCCCTGGTGTGCTGCCCCCTTGTGCATGCACCCCCGGCCTCCATAGAAAGGGACAGAGGAGCATGGACAGGCCGTGCCTGACCGCAGCTTCCTCCCCACCTTCTCAGCTCCTCCCCCAGGGTGATCAAAAGGGACTCAGGTGACAGGAGGGGCCTCCACAGAGGCCACATGGCCTGGAGTGTCCACCTCCCACCACCGCTGCTGCTCCTGCTGCTGTTTCCAGGTGAGGCGGGGCAAGGGGAGCCAGGACAGGTGACTGACAGGGGACAGGGGGCAGGGCAGGTGTGACTGTGCCTCTCTGCCTTGTTCCCCAGGCTCCTGGGTGCGCTCAGACGAGGCCATATTTCAAAGAGTGGCAGGAGACACGCTGACAGTGATATGTAACTACCCAGCAGCCTCCCGCGAGTCCTACAAGGAGAAGGCCTTGTGTCGGGAGGTGGCAGGATTCACATGCGGCAAGTTAGTGCCGGGCGCCAGTGCCAAGGGCCAGGTCCCCCGGGTGTCCTTCTGGGACCGTCCCAAAGCCGGGCACTTCGTGGTCTCCCTGGCCAGGCTCACGGAGGAGGACTCCGGATACTACTGGTGCTCCCTGCTCGAAGTTTCCAGCAACACTGTGCTCAACTCCATCAAATTCTACGTGGCCGTGTCACCAGGTGAGCCCTCCAGGGCCTCGAGGGCGCCCTGCACTGTCTTCCGGTGCCTCTCCCCTCCTGCTTTCCAGCCCGGAAGCCCCCTCCCGCCCTCCCGCCTCCTGACTCCCATCGCAGCGCCCTCCTGGCTCTCAGGGTCCTTCATGGGGTCCATCTCGTCCCCACCTGGGAGACTCCCGTCCCGGCCCCAGCCACTCCGCTCACTGAGGTCCTTCCTCTCCAGCCCCCACCCAGGCCCCCGGGGCTGCCCGCAGCCCCACCTCCTCAAACACCCAGAGCTCTACACTCCCAACAGCAGGAACCACGGAGGCCCTCAGGGCTCCATCTGCCTTCACCCCACTGGCTTGGTGAGTCCACCATGGGATGCCGTCCCCACCTGCCCAGCACAGGGCAGCAGACCTGACCAACCACCCGCTTCTTATCTCTCCACACTCCAGGCCCCAAAATGTCACCCTTTGCCCTGACCTTGCAGACTCCTGCGCCCTGGGCCGCGGGCTCTGTGGACTCCTTCTCACCAAGAGCCTGGTGCTGCTGGCCCTGCTATGGTGAGAGGTGTGGGCTGGGCTTGAGGCCCCAGGGAGCAGGGAGCCGGGACAGCTCCTGCTCCAAGACAGACTCATGGAGGGGGCCCAGCAGTGGACGGGGCAGGGGAAACAGTAAGGGACAGCAGGGCCCTCCAGGTGCAAGCTCCCAGGGGCTCCCTTGGGCACCCAGGCCTCGGCCCCGGTCCTCCCGTCGCTCTCCCTGCCTGCTCTCCTCCCGTCTCTGCCGCCCGTCTCCCCTCTCTCCCAGCTTCCTCCTTCTCTGTGTGGCTATCTTCCTCCCTCCCCCACCGCCCTGCTTCAGGACCTGCACAACCTGGAAGTCCCCTACTGCCCACTGACTCAATCTAAGGACCTCCCAAAGCTGCCACTGCAGGCCTCCAGCCATCCTAGGGAGGGCAGACACAGGACAAAAACTGTTGCCCACCCTGGGAAGAAGAAGACATGTGGGGAAACTGAGGCAGGATTGATAGAAAGTACCATTGAAGTCTGGAAACAAGGTCAGGCCAGGCCAGGAGCGGGCTTAGTGGCGACATGGGGCTGTGGGAAGAAGAGTAGGATCCAAGTCACTTCATCTGGCCAGGTACGGTGACTCATGCCTAGAGTAGCAGCACTCGGGAGGCTGAAGCAGGAAGACCACTTGAGCCTGGGAGTTTGGGGCCTGCCAGGCAATTTAGCATGACCTTGTCTCAAAATGAAGACTGATTTTGCCTTTTTCTTCACTCCTGGCATTGCAGGACCTTGAGGAGCAGATGTGTGCAGCGTAGAGGGGACCTCCTGGGGAACCAGCCCCAGCCCTGGGAGCTCAGGGCTGCCCTGAGCCCACAGAACCTGAAGCAGACACCCAGGGTCCCCCAAATCTGTACCCCTAGGAGCTGCTCTCTGACCTCTGAACCCTGCAGTCCTGCAAAGACAAGGCCAGAGCTCTGCGGCAGCCCCTCCGGCCAACCCTGAGGGTCTTCCTTGAGACCCTCCACTGGGCCATGCCAGCCTGCCCCCCGGGCTGCCATCATCTCATAGGGGCAAAGCCCAGTGTGACATTTCAGTAGCACCCGTTAAGACCCTGGAGACCATTCTTCCCCCGCCACCTCTGAGACAAGACGTGGCTGAGGGGAGCCCACTCTCTGGGCCAGCAGCACCCTCTGAGCCCAGCACTGGCCCAGGACCAGGATGCCTGAGTCTAAACATGGTGGGAGACAGCGACCAGCTGTCTCAGCTGATGTACAAGATCCCTCGTGACCCAGGCCGTCCTCTGCAGCTGCTGGGGATCCTAGCCTTAATTACCATCTCATTGACTATGCAGATTAGACCCCGCCCTCTGCGGGCTACAGACCCCCTGACAGTTCCTCCAAGGCTCATAAGAGGTCGAGACTCCCACTGCCCAACAGAGGGGGCCAAGCCAAGCCCTCAGACCACAGTCCCACCCCAAACCCGGAGGCTTCAGACCCTCGGCACCTAGCTTGCTGCCCAGAGCTCTGCTGCCGGCCTCTTCTGCCCAGGGCAATGGGCTTTCGCTTTCAAATAAATCTTTGATTCTGCTGTTCCTTCCCAGTGTCCTGCTCGATTCTTTGTTCAGGATGTCAAGAACGTGGACAAGACCCCTGATGTGGTGACACCACCACCACCACCCTTTCATGTGTAGCACCTTGTAAAAGACACAGCTTGGGCACATGGAGCAGAGTTTATAAGAGCAAAGTCGAGTCAGGAGTCGGGGCCCTCGAAACTAGGAGAGGTTTGGTTCAGAATGCTCAGCTCTGCACCCCGGATGAAAGACAGAAACGGACCAGGGTGGGCAGAACCAAGGGACACACAGCACAGCGAGGGGACTGCCTCATCATGCTGGCTAGGACCAGCCTGTTAATGGGTTCTGCGCTTATCTCTCCCAGTTTCTCAGAAGGTCACATAAAGGATCCAGTTTGAAGCTGGGCATGGTGCTTGGTGCACATCTGTAATGCCAACACCCTGGGAGGCTGAGGCAGGAGACGACAAGCTCAAACCCAGCCCAGGTACAATTTAACAACCCGGGGAAACCCTGCTCAAAATTTAAAAATTAAAAATAAGATTTAAAGGGCTGAGAATGCAGTTGTATGAAAAGGCCCTGGGCTCAATCCCCAGTGCTACTAAAAAAAAAAGAAAAAAAAAAAAATACAACTTAGCTTGGGTATGGTGGTGCAGAATTTTAGCGTGAGTGACCCCATGTTGGTTTGCTGGGGCAGGCAGAGCACTGGACCTCAGTCCATACCAGTGACTGCCTGTAGATAAAGCCGTAGTCCACACTGAGGCCTCCTCTCTGCCCCGTCAAGCACTCTGTCACTCTGACACGGTGTCCCCCTGTGGTGCTGACTGCCCCCCAGGCGGTTGTGGCTCTGGCAGGAGGTAAGCGAGCCCTCTCCAGCTTTGCCTGCAGGGTCAGGCTGGGGACCAGGCTGACCCGGTCAGTCCCTGTCACTCCGTGGACTTGCTGTCTCTTGCTGAACACTGTCCCCACATGCCAACCCCTGGCATCGCTTCCCTTCCTGGCCTCTGATTTTCTTCAGAGCTCTCTGGAAGCCTCTGCTATTTCCCATGCTCGGGAAGCAAGTGAACCCGGGGGCCAAAGGTCCAGGCCCATGGGGAAGGGTCTCACACCAAGGTCTGCCCTCTCCTCTGCCAGCCCTCGTCCACAACCCAGGGTCCCCACAGGGCAGGGCGGCGGGGGAGGATGTGGGCAGATGACCCGGCCTCCAGCCACTCAGCCCCTCTGGGTTCTGAGGTCAAGATGACCCACTTCGCATCCTCCACCCCATGGCTTCCTCCCGGCCCGACAGCTCTTCTGATCTGTGAAGTCATCTGCTGTCAGCTTCACAAGCGGGAGGACCTCTCTCTGCTTTTTTTGGTTTATTTTCTTTTGTTTCTGTGATATTCAGGGTAAAATCCAGGCCTTCGACCTGAGCAATAATCCCCGGCCTTTCCCATATTTTCATTTTTCATTCTCAACCTGTTTTTGTTTTTGTTTGTTTGTGAGACAAGGTGTCACTATGGAGCTCTTATGGCCCCTAAACTCACAGCTGATCTTCCTGCCTCAGCCCCCTGAGTGTTGGGGGATTAAGGTGTACGCTGCCACACTCAGCTAGCATTGGGTCTTTTTTATTATAGTTGCTTTCTTTTTAACTTAAACATTCACTGCATTTTTGATCACCCCTCCTGTGTTTAAATCCCCACCGAACACGCTCCAACCACAAATGATTTACAGTCCTCCAACTTGCAAAGGCACCTGGCTCCTTCAAAGCCCCCAGAATCTCTTCCGGGGTGGCCCCGGCGGGTGTCTCTCCCCTGGGCTAGGTCTCAGCCATGGCAGCCAGCATGGAGACTTGGAAGCCCACGGACGGCCACGTGTGGGATAGTCTAGTGTCTCCCGGTTCCTTTCTGAATAGGATTTGAGGGTTACAAAGATTTGGGGTTTGGTTAGGGGTTTTTGTGTTTTGTTTTGTTCTTGCCCTTGTTTTTGGTTGTACTTTGAATCGTCTCCAATCTTGGTGGTGCCTTGTGAATGTCATTCTCTTTTAAAACATGTGGGCCTCAGCCAGGTGCACACGCCCACCAGCCCAGCACTGCGGGAGGCTGAGGCAGGAGGATGGAAATTAACTCAGCAGGGGCAACTTAGTGATTTATCGACAGCGTGTCTCAAAAGAAAACATAAAAAAGGCTGGGGATGTGGCTCAGTGCAGACTCCGGATGTGATCCCCAGCACCAAGGACTCCCCCCACCCCGAAAAATTAGATTTCCTTGGACTCCACTTGTGACTCAATCATGAAACCGAAGCTGGTGGACAAGCTCTTTCTATGCCTCAGGCTTCTGCAGAGAAGCTTCAAGTGGCACCTCCACATTAAAAAGAATCTGCGAAGCCCATGCCTTGACCCCCTGGAGGCCTCTGTCTGCAGGAGATGATGAGAGAGATGCAGTTGGGCCTGACTCCAGCTCCTTCCCAGGGACAGAAGTGGTGACAGAAACGTCCTAGATCTGGGCTGTTTTCCTCGGTGTGGCCCTGGCGGTTGGGAGCAGGCTGGGTCCCTCACTGAGCTGCCATTGTTTCTCAGAGAATGAAGGTGGAGAAGGTTCTGGAGCCTCTGCCACGTGAGGTGGGGCACCCAGGTGTATGAGTCTGTTTTCTGCTGCTGCCACAAACTCCATGTAGCTGTAGAAGAGTTTTGGAGGCCGTGAGCCAAGATGGCGCACGCTCCCCTTCAGCCCCTGGTGGTGTCACATCTTGGTGGTTGTCAACAAGTGTGGGGACATGTGTGACAGGGACAGTCACATGGTGACAGAGAAAGCCCAGAGAGAGCAGGAGGGCTCAGCCTCACTCATCTGCACACAACTCATCTTCACAGAACTGGTCCCACAGCGTGGACTCCTGACCTCCTTCCAGCAGACCGCCATGAGGGCTGTTTCCACACATGACTCTCTGTGGGACAGGCCCCCGGAAGTGGCTGGTGTGTTGGGCACAGTGCTGCAGGCTGGGAGGCCTGGGATCCCACACAGGGACAATACACATAAGACCCCGAAGAAACAAAAAGAGCCACCCAGGAACACAGCAGCGGGCCTGCAGGTGGGAGCCGTGAACCAAGATGATTCTAGAAGATTCTAGAACATGGCAGAAAGGGACAACAGCAGAAAGCAAGATTGAAAACAAAAAGAGGGAGCTAAAGAGGGACGGAAGAAGTGGGACACTGGCAGGGCATAGACAGTGGAGGGAAGGATGAGTCACATTAGGGTGACCACGGCCACCCAGGTCAACAGAGAGGAGACCCCTGGGGCACTTGCTGTTCCTTCTCACACCTGGGGCTATGGCGGCATCCTGGCATCCCGGGACGGTTGAGACTTCCAGAGCCCAGGGTCCTCCCCTTAAACCCCAGTCTCCTGCCTCCCTTCCCAGCTCCCCACTGTCCTGCTGGGCTCCCCAGGGACGGGCTCCACAGCAGGCCGCAGGCCTGCAGGGAGTGTGGGGACAGCTTGGCTCTCAGGCAGGCCTTGCCCGGGAGCCGAGGGCCTGGACGGGTCGGGAAGGCTGCTCAGGTGTCTTCTTAATTGCATTGGCCGCGGTGATATTAATTTGCTATGTAGCGAGGAGCTCTTTTTTTAGAGCGATGTGTGGTGAATTATTTAAGGGTGAAATGTCTGGATGTATGCAATTTATTTTTAAAATACTTCTGCATAAAAAATACAGCGAGTTAAAAATACAGATGTGGAGCGGAGCATGTGGCAATGTCTGTGGCTGGGACCTGCTGCCCCTCTGAGGAAATCAGACAGATGAGCTGACCCGGACAAGACCGAGCCCTCAGAAAATGCACCCCTCTTCCCAGCACCCAGTGGGACCCCAGCGCCCCCTGCAGCCTGGTGACAAACACACCAGCCACTTCTGGCGGACACTGAACGACAGTCACCCGCCCAGCCCAGCCGGAGGTCCCAGCAAAGGGACCCCGGACTTGGCCCTGGACGGCAGACCTGTGCACCAGGCTCTGGAGCTGCGCCCTGGGTCCCGTTTGGGTTTTCCGCTCCCCTTCTGGTAAGTTATGTATCAACACAAATGAAAGACAGTAAGTTCCATCCTTTTCTCCGCTTTCTTTTCCAACTAATATTTCTCAAGCACCCGCAAGGGAGGCTGTGGGAAGCTGGGGTGCGGCCTGCTTTCCTGGGCTGCAGGTTTCTCCCTGCTCCCCACTCCTCCCTGTTCCTTCCGCTCTGCCCCGCACCGTTGCCTGGTGCCTCTCCTCCTCTCCTCCCCACACAACCTCCTTCCCAGAGGGGGACCCTACTGGCCTAGGGGTTCAGTGGTGACAGGTCATGGCCCTGTGACCCTGTCAACTGTCTTCAACCATCTTTCCAGGGGAACCAATAAAGCAGGCCTAGGAAGGCTGGGGGCTCAGGGGGAATTCCAGTGGCCCAGCTTGCTCCCCTCCCTGAAGCTTGCTTAGGGCAGGAGGGGAAAGTCACACCCCAGAGTGCCTTGGGACTCCCCCTAAGCACACTGAGGACTCGGGGGCTACCGTTCCCCCATCCCCACATCCTCAGTGTCAGAGCTGAGTCCCAGTTCCCAGAGACCACGGAATGCCCTGACCCCTCATCCTTCACCCCAAAAACCTCTTCCCTTCCCCGCGACCCCACCTGGCCTGCAGGTACCAGGGCATGAGAGGTGGCTGACCAGGGTGTGGGTGCTCAGGGACACAGCCCCTTCTGCAACCCTGGAGGCCTTGAGTCCCAGGTTCCCGGGGACAGAAGCTGGGGCCTGAGGAATGGGGGCCGAGAACAGGGCAGTACCCGTCTGGGAGGACAGGCCCAGGAGGAGGGTCTCAGCCCATCTCTGTGACTCCATCCCCCATGCGCGGCACAGGACAGCGATCCTCGGGTGTGATAACACACACCTAGACGGTGCGGTCCAGAAATGCGACTAGGCCCAGGGATATAGCTGCCGCCCAAAGAAAACCGAGGATTTAGCTCAGTGGCACAGCATCTGCCTGAGAAGCGTGAGGTTGTGAGTTCAATCCCCGGTACCAAAAAGCAAAGAAAA